CAAGCTTTTTTAAAGCACTCTGAACACCAATCAAAACACTTGTCACTAAATAAAATGGTAACCTTACAGTCCTGTTTGCACATTGCCTTTGCTTTGCTTTGCTTCACTTCAAAAATTATACCCCATGTCACTTTAGTGGTTCTTCAAAGCACCTTCAAAGCCTCCATAGAAGTGTATGACAAAGCTTGCTAACCGCACCTGCAGATTTTGAGAGACTTTTTTTCAGGTTTAGCTTTGCTTTGGAGGCATTGCAGGTAAGAAATATCCACACACACAGGGCATCTGCCAAGCTTCATTAAAGCTTCAGATAAGCACCACTGAAGCATCATTGAAGCCATAAAAAACACATCAAAAAAGAATGTTGAAGTAGTAAGCTTCTTGAATGTGTGTTGAAGTCAAAGCAAGTGTAAATGAGCCCTTAGTGTCAGCAAAACTTGTCAGAAGTGTCTCTTGCTATAAAAACAGGGGAATGAGGCAACAGAGAGAAATCACACTTGGTGCTTTATATGGAGGCAAATACATAGTATAGAAGGATATGCTTTGTTGATATTTCATAGCTGAGGCTTGCAGCCACTTTAAAGTGTAACTAAATCCCAGACTCTGCATTCACTATATTCTCTCCCACAGTACACAGAACATGGAAATGCAATTATTTTAGTAAATATAAACTGCTAAATACCATCAGCAGTAAGAGAAGTCTTGTGACTTATATCAGTGTCATGATAACAGTACATGTTAAAGCTTGTAGGAGGAGTTTTAATTTTGCATTAGGAGGATGCAGGACACCTGACCTCTGTGTGGACAGTGCTGATTGGCCCTGTTCTGATCCCATGCACTCTTCCAAGAACAAAAAACAAAATTCTCTAGCAATACACACCAAACTGAGCATGTGCAAAGTGACTTCACACGATATGTCTTATCAGGAGATGCAAGGGGGTCACTGGAAGAAGGGGAGGATCAGAGAAGACAGGATAACATAGTGTTTTTACACAATGCAGAGGATTAACCCCTTAGGTTCCACAGTGAGAATAACAAGTATGCTTTACAGCATATACAGACTGAGTTTACTGTTGTGGGTTTAGTAACACTTTAATGCTGCTGGTGTGTGTCCTGCAGCTTCCTTACAGTCTTACATAAACATTGACTGTTTATAGTCATAGCAGTGTAAGGCCCCTTTCACATAGGCAGACTCAGCCAGTGGATCATCCTGCTCTGCGGTTCAGCTGCCAGTTGATCCCCGCAGAGCAGGCAGATGACTGGTCTATGTCTGCTCCACTTATGTAGAGTAGACATGGACCCAGCCTGCTGTTCTCTATTAGCGGTTACTTCTGACTGTCATCTGATCTGATCCATTAGATGGAGGGGGAACAGATCCCCATCCTTCTGTTTTTAGCAGATAGGATCAGATTGGATGCACGCGGGTGTAAACAGACACATGTCTATTTACAACTGCCGTTCCATAGAGGACAATGGATGGTCCAATCGGGTCCACCTGAAAAATGGACAGGCGGACCTTATCGGTATCATGTATCTGTCTCAAAAAAATGCTAACAAATTCATATGGGTACAGTGTTGCATGAGCACACAATTGTCATTCAAAGTGTGATAGCACTGAAAGCTGAAAATTGGCTGGACAGGAAGGGGGTGAAAGTGTTCAGACTTGAAGTGGTTAAACAATAAAGCCAATATATACAAATTATAAAGTCCATATAAACCAGTTCTAAAAAGTCCACCACCAACGTGCTGTAATGCATAATCCTCTTTAGACCTCTGGTGCTATCTGTGCTGTACATGCAGCCACCCAGTGCTATTTTTTAAATGCTCACCTCATAGTATTGACCCCAATACTACATTAAGGCACCCAAAGGAATTTAAAATCTCTTCCAGGGGAGTATGTCTTCTGCCTCAAAAAAGCATTCTTCTCCTCTGGCAGTGCCACACTCACAGGGAGGAATACATATAAAATGGAATGGGACTAATAGTGTTCTCTGTATAAAACCTTTATTAAAACACCCAAGAATAACACTCACTTATTAAAATCACTCTCAGTGCTATGGTATACAGACATAAAGGCACATAAGAACATCAGACAGAGATGTATATCATACCACAATGGCTATCTTCTCTCTAACAGCATGGCTTCCGCCACTACACGCTTTACTCCCTACGTATAGAAATTGGGTCTCAATCAAATAAAATGTAACAAAGGTCTGCGTTAATCAATAGTTCACTCTTGTGTTATGAACCCTCCAAGACCTTTTAAGGTAGCTGAAACAGAGAAGCTAAGAATATTTAATGACATGGCCATCTGGTAACATACTGTATGTCAAAGGGTTATCCTGTACTTTGTTGTTTATCTATAGCTTGGCATACCATACTTGGCAATCTATTCCAAATCAGTCAAGCTGGCAAAGCTGCTAAAAGCTGTAAACACTGTTGATCAACCATGTATGTGCTCTCTACACTATATAAATGCTCTGTAAGATGACAATGGGGGGGGGGGGCATTCTCGACGGGAGAATGTTTCCCTACGTGGGTATGTTTGATAAACATCTTTTTGTTCACAAGTGGTCTTGACTAAATTTCACAACACATCACATCAATCAGTATCAAAGTATAAAATCAGCATGAAACAAGTTAACATGAATTGACATGCACTACACTACAGTATAATGTTTAGGTGTAGAACAGAGAAAAGTAAAGAAGAAAGGGTAAAAGAAGTAAGAAGTGGAGGTGGAAAGGGAGAGAGGAAAAAAAAAAAGAATAGGGGAGGGAGAGGGGCAGGGGTAAAAGAAAAGAGTCAGGGACCAGAGAGGGTGACTAACGGGACACCTCCTGCCGTAAAGACGTATAGTAAAAAAGAGAAATATCTAGTACTGAAGGTTTTCATCAGAGAATTGAAACAGATCCCAGTAGGGGGGCGTGGCTGGCCACGGACGGAGATGGCTGCCTAGCAGATGAGCTCTGTGAGCCACTGAGCACCGCAGCTTACAACAGCGACATTCGCCAGCATGAACACCCGCCGACATCACCGCTCGTTCCCTGGTGGTGTGGGGCACTGTTCCCTGTGATGGGGAAGCGTAAATTAAAGGAGGGGCCCCACAAATTAACTGAGTTCTTCACTCTGGCTGGTGGCTCCTCCTCCCAAAATGGCGCTGGTCCTTGTTCTCCTTCGGATCTGCAGGGACATGTGGAGGGAGACGTGCATAACTCCCCTCTGCACTCATCCAGCCCTGCTGTGAATGCTATGACAGCTGATCCTGCACTGAGAACACCAACCTGCAGCTCGCAGAAGAACAGGCAGAAATACTCTCCAGATGTACAACATGTGGGTGAGCACTCTCATGATTCTTTTTCACACAACACCACCAGAGAATTTATAGAACATTTGGAGGACTATCCAGCAGAATCAATGCCGCTTACTGCCGCAGTCATGAAAGATATGTTAGTTACTCTTAAAGGATCCCTACATAAAGATATGATGAGCTTTATGTCACAAATTAATACAGAGGTTGAAAATCTGGGGGAGCGAGTGTCTCATGTGGAAACTAAAATGGGTGACTTCGCTACAGCGCATAACGAATTAGTGGACGCCCATAATGAAGCTGAGGATGACTTGACAGCTTTAAAAGTGAAATTGGTGGATCTGGAGGACCGCTCACGTAGAAATAATATAAAATTCAGGGGGATTGGTGAAAATGTTCCTGTCGCAGACCTCTGCAAATACATTCAACAAATGATTTCTACACTATTGCCGCATACTCCGAATTGGGAGGTAGTGGTAGATAGGGCGCATAGACTGCCGAAGCCCTCTTTCCTTCCCGACCATGTACCTCAGGATATATTATCAAGAATCCACTTCTACCATGTGAAGGAGGAGTTAATGTTATTCGCGCGGAAGACCAACCCACTCCCAGCGCCCTACAATGGGATCTCTCTGTTTACTGATCTTTCACAACACACCATATTAGCTCTCAAGAAGTTGATTTCTTTTATGAAATTATTGCACAACAACAATATTAAATACCAGTGGGGTTTCCCTACCAAATTGCTGATTACGAAAGATAACCAGGTCTTTACAGTCTCTTCTGAAGAGGAAGGATTCCAACTAGCAAGGAAATGGGGGCTCCTACCCACGGACAAGAAAACCGCATCTACTAAAGCTTCTCCCAGGAAAATATCTTCTGAATGGGAGCAGGTAGCAGGATGACACTAATCAACATTCCTATTCCACACCACCTTGTTGTTTCTTTTTTCTGTACCACCCACTGTGTGCTTGGACAGCGGATAATCAGGCTGCAGGCCTTGGCTCTTTCCCCCCTCCAGTCAAGTGATTCGCTTCACACGAACTTGTATGTTAATTTTTTATTTTGTTTTTCTTCACACTTTTTCCTTCCTTTTCCTAGTTTTTTCCTACAGAGCATCAGCACTAATTTCGCCACTAGAACTCTGTGTGACTTCCCAAGATGGCCCGGGAGGGCCGAAGCTCCCTTTTTCCCGCTGGATCATCATGGATAATGTAAGAGTATCTACCGTATTTTTTGCTCCATAAGACACACTTTTTTCCCCCCCAAAAAGGGGGGAAAATGTCAGTGCGTCTTATGGAGCGAATATAAAGCGGCCGGTCCGGTATTTCTGCCGCCACCATGTCAGAATACCGGGCCGGCCGCTCAGCTGTTGTCTCCTGCAGGGCCTTACCTGTTCTTCGCTCCAGTGCTGCACAGTCTTCCCGCGCTGGCTTCTGTGACAGCCGGGTGCCCACTGCGCATGTGCTGCGCTTTGTGAATGATCCGGTGTCTTCTGGGACACATGACAGGTCCCAGAAGGCGCCGGGCCATTCACAAAGCGCAGCGCTTCTCACGCATGCGCAGTGGGCACCCGGCTGTCACAGAAGCCGGCCCGGGAAGAAGAGGTAAGGACAACTCCGCGGAAGTGAATTTGACAGGTACCCACTCCCCCTCCCTCCCCAAAGGTCAGCAGTCTCTGGTTATTCCCTGCACTGTCTGCAGTCTCTGGTCATCTTCTGTACTGTCTGCAGTCTCTGGTCATCCCCTGCACTGTCTGCAGTCTCTGGTCATTCTCTGCACTGTCTGCAGTCTCTGGTCATTCCCTGCACTGTCTGCAGTCTCTGGTCATTCCCTGCACTGTCCGCAGTCTCTGGTCATTCCCTGCACTGTCCGCAGTCTCTGGTCATTCCCTGCACTGTCCACAGTCTCTGGTCATCCCCTGCACTGTGTCCGCAGTCTCTGGTCATCCCCTGCACTGTGTCCGCAGTCTCTGGTCATCCATGCACTGTGTCCGCAGTCTCTGGTCACTCCCCTGCACTGTGTCCGCAGTCTCTGGTCATCCCCTGCACTGTGTCCGCAGTCTCTGGTCATCCCCTGCACTGTGTCCGCAGTCTCTGGTCATCCCCTGCACTGTGTCCGCAGTCTCTGGTCATCCCCTGCACTGTGTCCGCAGTCTCTGGTCATCCCCTGCACTGTGTCCGCAGTCTCTGGTCATCCCCTGCACTGTGTCCGCAGTCTCTGGTCATCCCCTGCACTGTGTCCGCAGTCTCTGGTCATCTCCTGCACTGTGTCCGCAGTCTCTGGTCATCCCCTGCACTGTGTCCGCAGTCTCTGGTCATCTCCTGCACTGTGTCCGCAGTCTCTGGTCATCTCCTGTACTGTGTGTCTGCAGTCCATTGGTTCAGAATATTTTTTTTTTTTCTTGTTTTTCGCCTCTAAAACCTAGGTGCGTCTTATGGTCAGGTGCGTCTTATGGAGTGAAAAATACGGTATTTGGCTTACAAAATCTGACATGCAATTTCTACTTGAGGGCAACCTCATCTTACAATTCCAAGCTTTACCATGGTTTTAAAGATTATCTCTCTAAATGCACAAGGTCTTAATAGCCCCTTCAAGTGCCAGATGATGTGGAAAGAGGCACAAAGGCTACATGGAGATGTGATCTGTGTTCAGGAAACGCACTTCTCGTCCTCCAAACCGCCGCATTGTTCACACAGCTTGTTCCCACACATTTTTGCATCTAATGGCCCTGACAAGAAGTGCGGAGTTCTAATTGCTATTGAGACTCTGTTGCCTTTTCATTACTATCTCAGGTGTCCGACAGGGCAGATTCCTACTTATTGTGTGTGAAATTAACAACATTGTATATACCATTGTGAACCTTTACACCCCAATGCTCACCAAGTCCACTTTTTTAATTCCAAAGTGGCAAAATTCCAGAAGGGTTTGGTGCTATATTGCGGAGATTTCAACGCTATTATAAATAACTCGCTTGATACTTCCAATCCCTCCCGCCACTTGAGACATTCCTTAACTCATGCCTTAACTGAAGCTGACCTCTACGATCCTTGGAGATATCTCCATGCATCTGAAAAGGACTTTACGTACTATTCAGAACCCCACAAATCATATTCAAGAATTTACTTTTTTCTAACGGATGTCCAATTACTGCAAAATAGTTCTAAAGCTGAGATCCATCCGATGATGTGGTCGGACCACACATCTATCTTGTTGAATATAGAAGAGACTCTGAAATTTTCTCCAGTATTTCTATGGCGAAATGATGTCTCAATGTTTTGTAATCCTGATTTTCGGCCAGTTCTTAATACGGCTTTACAGGAATATTTTGATATTAATTCGAGACAGATTCAATATCTGGTTAAATGGAAAAGGGTATTCCTTTGCACGAAAACGCACCAGCACATGCAGGGTGCACTAATTGCTGACACTCAGTGGCCTTTATAAGGATTGCAGCTCTGCTCAGTGATTGCTGGATTATCATCAGCCCCTCCCATTCCTGTGTTCCTGAGTTTAGTGCTGATTACCCATTGCTGACCTGGCTTGATCCTGACCTTGTTCCTGTCTGCTGCTCTGTGTATGACCCTGGCTTGCTCCTGACCTTGCTTCTGTCTGCTGCTACTCTGTGTATGACCATGGCTTGATCCTGACCTTGCTCCTGTCTGCTGCTACTCTGTGTATGACCCCGCTTGATCCTGATGTTGCTCTTGTCTGCTGTCCCATATTGATCCTGGCTCTGGCTACTGACTACTCTACTCATCCTCCGGGATTCACGTGTTCGCTGGAGAAATTCATCCTGCAACTGGAGCACCCATGGGTTCCATCTCATCAAGCATTTCCAAGCAGCAACACCACTGGCAACCCGTGCTTCTTTGGGCACTCCACCTCCTGTTTCCACCTCAAGGGGTGAACTGCACTTAGCCGTAAGGGGAGCCCTCTCTCTATTTCAGCCTCCAGTCAAGTATGTGACAATGAGGTTATATCTGGACCCTGCAGAGGTTGCACAGGCAGTCCAACTCCTCCAGGATGGCACATCAATACGTGCCATTGCCAGAAGGTTTGCTGTGTCTCCCAGCACAGTTTCAAGAGCATAAACAGGGCTGTAGAAGGTCCTTACTCCACCCACAGGACCGGTATCTGCTCCTTTGTGCAAGGAGGAACAGGATGAGCACTACCAGAGCCCTACAAAATGACCTCCAGCAGGCCACTGGTGTGAATGTCTCTGACCGAACAATCAGAAACAGACTTCATGAGGATGGACCAATGTCCTCTAGTGGGCCCTGTGCTCACCATATAGCTCGCTTGGCATTTGCCTATGAAAACCAGAATTGGCAGGTCCGCCACTGGCTCCCTATGCTTTTCACAGATGAGAACAGGTTCACCCTGAGCACATGTGACAGATATGAAATAGTCTGGAGAAGCAGTGGAGAACATTATGCTGCCTGTAACAACGTTCAGCATGACCGTTTTGGTGGTGGGTCAGTGATGGTCTGGGGAGGCATATCCATGGAGGGACGCACAGACCTCTACAGGCTAGACAATGGCACCCTGATTGCCATTAGGTATCGGGATGAAATACTTGGACCCATTGTCAGACTCTACACTGGAACAGTGGGTCCTGGGTTCCTCCTGGTGCACGACAATGCCTGGCCTCATGTGGCGAGAGTATGCCGGCAGTTCCTGCATGATGAAGGAATTGATACCATTGAATGGCCAATAGAACACCTCTGGGATATCATGTTTCGGTTCATCCAACGAGACCAGGTTGCACCTCAGACTGGAGCTCAGTGATGCCCTGGTCCAGATCTGGGAAGAAACAACCCAGAACACCATCCGTAATCTCATTAGAAGTATGCCCTGACGTTGACAGGCAGGCATGCATGTAAGCGCCTCAGGGTTATACAAACTGCTGAGTACCATTTTGAGTTGCTGCAATGAAATTTCAGCAAAATGGACTAGCCTGCTGTATCATGTTTTCACTTTGATTTTCGGGGTGTCTTTAAATTCATTCCTCTATAGGTTGATAATTTTCTTTTGAATCAAATTACAGGACATTCTTATGTTCCTAACACATTACCCAGTCCATATCAGTATAGATATCCAGGATGATATTTTTCCCCATTGAGACCTGATACGATTTCAAAGTATTCCTTTAATTTTTTGAGCAGCGTATTTTTGCACCATATTTTTTTTCCTTACCTCAGCTCTTCATGATTTCTTTATCCTCTGCAATTATAATTACCTTCCTGTACTAGCTACAATAAAGATGGCAGTTCTAGTTCTTTGGCTCAGATAAATATTTTTAATAAACATGACTACTATTTTTGCATATTGTATTCTTGCTTAAAATTACTTTTTTTGTCTTTTAATTTTTAATAATAATTGGGACATGAACATTTAAATATTTGTACTTTGTTGTAATTTGCTGACCCACTGAATTTGAGCCTGCCTCCATTCATTCATCATTGAGTTCAGCCATGCCTATCAAACAATTTCAATGATAATTTGTCACATGAGTGATTTTAAAGCAACTATATTTTACAGCAGTCATTGGTTTATTGTGATAATGTGTTTCAGTGATAGATAAATCAGAAATGAAGCTGATGTGTGACTTCTTTGGTAATGGGAAACACAAAACTTAAGTCAGTGTTAATAACTTCATACCTACAGCTCACTGTTATTTTTACAGACGCTGAAGATGACGTTGAGAATATAGTGCACCCTGTACTGATCAAAATAAACATATAAGAAAAGTAGGGGTACCATTTGTGGTGGAGCTGTCATGACCACGAAATGCTGCATAGTTCTTAAGAAATTATGCTCTCAAGATTAATGTCCTCAAACTAGTTTTCATTAAAGTGTTACTAAACACACAACAGTAAAATCAGTCTGTATATGTAATAATGCATGCTTATTATAGTAACTGTGGAACCTAAGGGGTTAATCCTCTGCATTGTTTAAAATGCTGTGTGATCCTTACTTCTCTGATCCTCCTTTCCTTCCAGTGCTTATTATCTCCTGATGAGGCATATTGTGTGGAGACACTCTGCACATGCTCAGTTTAGTGTGTATTGCTAGAGAGGTTTTTTTTTTTCTTGGGAGAGTGCATGTGATCAGCACAGGGCCAATCAGCATTGTCCAGACATAGGTCAGAGGTCCTGCATCCTCCTACAAGCTTTAACCAGTGCCCTGCTGAACACTGATATAAGTCACAAGACTGCTCTAACTGCTGATGAGAAAAGGTATTTAGCAGTTTATATTTACTAAAATAATTGCATTTCCATGTAGTGTCTACTGTGGGAGACCAAATAGAGTGAATGTAGGGTCCTGGGTTTAGCAACGTGTTAAGATTTACATTATATTGTTTCTCTCTTATATGCCTTTTCCTTTAATCAGATCATACCCTTCATCATATAATCAAAACTGTATGGCAAGTACTTTCATTCCTATGTAAGATTACTAATACAATATAGTCCTAACTTTTCACACTTACCTAGAACCTAAATTTCTAAATCTTTCAGTTTCAAACCTTCTTGGCCCACTGCGTAGTTTCCAAAGCCTACTTTCAGGCTGCACAGAGACTTAATCTAGATTACATAACAAAGTCTCTGAGATAGTTCCATAAGCCAGCAAAAGTATCTTGCCCTACTTAGCTTGACAGATGGGAGGTAGTAATATTTAATATTTGATTTTGTTCTTTGCTTACACTTGTTTCTTATTCAGAGGCAATGAGATTAAGCTTAAACAGTTAAAGTGCGCAGTATATCTAAAGCCAGTTTTTGTTTTAGGGTTAGAATGCCTGTCTGTTTTTTTTTTTTCAAACAATTGACGTTTATTCATAAAAATCAGAGCATATAAACATTAGTGAACAACAAAAAGCTTGCAGGTTATAAAGTCATATAGTACACGGTAACAAATGTTGGCTGCAAGAAAAGCTAAATAGTACAATCAGATCAGTGGGCTAAATGAAGCAGTCACAAATTGAGACGTTTATAAATTGCAGGTACAGACATCAAAACTGGCATAAGAAAATGCATGAACAGAAGAATGAAGTTTAGAAAAGAAAGAAAGAGAACAGCAATAGTAAGAACAGATCCAGTTCCGCAAATGGTGTCAAGTATCCACCAGCATGATACGCACATCGACAAGTATAAAAGTGTTATTCGCCCATCAGCCCTCTATACGTTTCTGAGAAAGTGAAAGCATACCAACTGGACCATAATTTGTGGAATCTGGCAACCATGTCATCAGTCATAGTCAATGTCCTTATAATTCCTGAATAATGTTAACCTCTCTTATCCAATCTTGGGTCGAGGAAGCTTGAGTAGTTTTCTAATGCCTGGGGATTAGGGACTTGG